TTTTGTGTCACACAAATCAGCTAAAACTAAAAGAGGAAAAAAAAAAAAAAAAAAAAAAAAAGGTAAAAAACTTCCCCACATGGCCCTGGAACCAAATATGAGAACTAAAGAGATCTACTTTCCAGATGTTCAAATTCAACCCAAACTAGATTAGTCAGTAGCCTTTAGTGCCATATTTACTAGCCTATTATCAAACAGATGTTAGGGCATTCTTTTCTTAAAGTTGTATTTCAATGGGTAAAAAAACCACTTTGATAATTTACATTGGGTGCCATTAGGTTCATTCTAGGGTGGAGCAAGGTGTGAGTGGCATTCAGGTTCATTCCTAGTTGAGTGGACCATCTGTAATACTCTGCAGGTGTTTCATGGAAAAGCCATTGTTAAAGTGCTTGCCAAGATTGTTCTGGGGCTAAGAAAGGGTTGCTTGAAGGCATGGGGGCTCACAGAGTCATGGTGGGCCACCTGGGAGGCGAGTGCAGTCTAGTAGCAAACGAAGGTAGGAGTTGGGAATGAAGGCTACTGCACTCTTCAAGAAAGCACCGCTGCTCAACAGCATCCCCTATGGACTGGCTGCTCCCTCACCTTAACCTTAAGAGATTAAAAGGCAGCAGTGTCAAGAACCACAAAGAAGCCAACCAAGTGCTGGAATGCTACTTCAAACCTGCACTGAAAAGGTGAATACAAAATTATTTATTAGCTCAACCAATACTAGAATGAGAAGTATTTAACTTGTAAGCCAGCATAAACATCCTGACCCCAGTATAGATGAAATTTAGAGGCTTAGGAAAATAAAGTCAAGCAACATTCAGTGAGAGGGTAGAAAGGTGTCCCGATTAATTCTATTGTAACACCAAAGCAATTTCCATATCAAGACTTTCTGATCCAGACTAAGGACAAATTCTCCATATGACTAGCTGAGAACTTATAAAAGGAATTCTATTTTTAGCTCCCTAACTTGATAGCCAGTACAGAAGTGAAATCGTCTGTCACTTATCCAAGATCCACCAATGGATGATAAGTCAGTACATTTATAATTTATGTCCTGCCCCACCTCCACAAAGATTGTAAGCAGCTGTTAAATGGTAATGAATTTTGCGTCAAAAGGGTAGAGGTGGCAATGAATTACTTCAACTAAAACTTAAATTTAGATGTCACTGTACTAGAACTTCAAGATATTAGAAACATACCATTTACAGGGGAACGATTGTTTTAATAAGCATTTGGTTCAGGAATAATGGTAAAAATTTATTTTTTTAAATATTGTTAAAAAGTCTTCCTTTATTATTTTCTCCCAAATCTTTACTACATGGATCTTTAACAACAACTCAACTGTTGTAAAGGTCTGTATAATGTACCTATGCAGGATGACTATTCAACTTATTTAAATCTCCTGAATATAACTGACTTGGCTTGTCATTGTTAATAGGTATGAAATACTTGTTAGAAATATAATCAATATAAACCTACCTCTCATGTATGCAACACTTCCTATTTTAAATGCTTTGCCTAACTAATAGGTAGCCCCGAATCATATTCCAATATGTATCTAATTCCAAAGCTGATTCATAAATGACAACTCAACTAAGCATTTAAAATAAAAACAAAAAGCAAAGCTTTAGGCATGACTCACTTGCTGCAAAGAAGAATCCTGTGAGAAACCCGTTTCTTTAAAGTCAATTTCATCATCACTGGATGAATGAATATGGCAGGTTGTAACCTATATGCATAAAAATGTAAAAGACTATTTAACAGAGAAAAGTTTTGGACATTTGTATCAGCATTTTTATGGAAAAATCACATTTTGTTTTCTCAATGTAATAGAAAAAACAAAAGTAACAGTTAACTTGTTGAAGCCACCCAGTAACAACGACACCCCCTCAGTCCGGCTATCTGCCCTGCAGCTGGCCACTTCTGGCCTTCCCCTCCTTACTACCAGTATCACCAGAAAACAGATGGAAAAAAGAGAAGAATTATTCATTTAAATAATTTTGATAACGACCTCCTATTGTTTACAATAGGAAAGGTTGAAGGAAAGGCACAGATAAACATAAAAATCATTTACAAGTGCCAGCCAGGCCTGTTAGGTAAAACTGCAGTCCCTAAGAATTCCCAATAAGCTACTACAAAGGTCAGGTTTAAATTTAACCATTTCACTTAAAAGCTTGAATCTCCTGCCCACACAAAGAAAAACACTGTCCAGGGACCGCAGATGGCATAATGGTTGGTTACGTTGCTGGACTCCCATGTAGTTAACCATGGTTCGAGTCCCAGACCCCATGACTTAAAACTCACACAGGGCATATTGTGCATATGGGCCCAAAATCCTGAGAGCTCACTGGAGGAGAAAGGATTGCAACATGGCCATCCCCCCTCCCCGGGGGTGGGGTGGGGTGGGGTGGTGATTTCTCATTTTCTATCTGTCTCTCTGGTGAGCATGTGCCCTCTAGCAAAAATCTCCATGGGAAAAAAACAAAACAAAACAAAAAACATTGTCCATAAGCACTAAACAGAACCTGAGTCAAGTTCTCTGCTCATAAAAAGACCCCAAATCTTCTCCCCTTGAAAATGTATTCCTCTACTCCCAGAACTTACAACCAACTTTCAGTAATTAAGCAAAAACACTAGCAAGAACTGCTCGCCAATTAATGGTTAAGTGTAATAACCCAGTGTTTCCAATTATTTCCCTCTCTTATCCTCCCTGAGACAGAGATAAAAACACTCACATTCTACTTGTGAATCTAGCCTGATGATATCAAAGGCAGATTTGTGATTACTGAAAGGCACCTGCTTAAGGCAACAGTTATTTTAGTGAGTGACTAAGAAAAGATACGAGGATAGATATGTTCCAAGGAGCTCCCAACCAGAACACAGAGAGAGGTATGGAATAGTGCTCAGTCATGGAGGCTGGCATCTTATGCCAAGAGCAGGTCAAGCATCTCTACTGCAATTGAGTTTGGGGACCACTTGGCTGGCAAGCTAGTGTGCATATCATGCTAATCCAGTATGTGTTTCAGGGGTGTAACACCATGAAGGAGCACAGAAATAGAAGATAACTCAAGGAGAAGGCTAAGTGACCTAAACAAGAGTAAACAAAATAAAACTGATTACTCCTAGCCAAGTCTCTTATTGTCTGTGTTCAAACAGAACACAATGTATCCTCATTCATGTTTTTACTTTTTCCTACAGAGTAAGATTTTACCAGGTGATTAACTGAAGGGACAGAAACTAATTTGTTCAACAACTATGTGCCAGACACTGTGATCCCCTTACCTGTTCTACTTAAACTGTATATTCAAAGCAGTCTTTGGAGATATTTAAAACTTTTCTCTCCCAAAAGAAATTTGTTATAGCAAACTATTATTTTTAATTGCCAGAGGGGCATATGCACAGGGTGAGAGGGAGAGGAAGAAAGCATTTTTCAGTGAAGTGTAGTCACATTATAATCCCTTCTCCCTTTCTCCACCCTACAGGGATTTGGGGCATGCATGCCCACACATCCTGCATGTTTTTCAAGCCACTAGGGCTGGGATTGGAACAGTGATCGCCATGTAGGATCCAGCTAACTTAACCACTAGGCTACAGGGCAGGCTCAGAAGTTATTATTAGTAACAACATGAGGCACATACACCTTCACAATTACATTAATGGGAGATATGATTCTGATTCTCACCATTCCAGTCTGAAACTATTATTAGTAAAATAAGCTAAACTATTCAGTTTACCCATGGAGGGAAACAAACTAATCAGAATCCCACCAATTAATTTCTCACCTGATGAGTTTGTAGTCTACACTTCCAAACATATTTCTTTTGAGGTGTCTCCATCTCAGTAAATGCCTCCTTCACTCCTCTCCTCAGCAAGAAAACTTTAGTCATTTTGTTTCCTCTATCTCATCCATATCTGTACATTTGATCTTTAGAATATAACCTAAAATCCCATCACTTCTTACCAAGTCTGTTATTAGCTCCCTATTGCAAGAAACCATTATCCCTCACCTGGATTAATTAGGACTAGCTCATCAATCTCCTGGCTCTTAACTCTTACTATACTAAAGTTAATTCTCAACTCAGTATCCAAACAAATCTACTAAAAATGTACAACAAATTATGTAACTTTTTAAAAAATAATTATTTTATTTAACTTTCTTATTATTATCATTATTATTTTCCAGTTTGGCCAGAGAGACAGAGAGAGAGAGAGAGAGAGAGGAAGTGAGAAAGCAAGCCACCAGGTCTGAGACTTGAACCGTGGTCGGCCATGTGGGAGTCCAGAGCCTTTAACCACCATGCCACCTGCCGGCCCCAATGTAACTTTTTAGTTTAAAACACAACGCTTTTCTTCTGAGATCAAAATTCAGGATGCTCACTACAAACTAAAAGGCTCTACAAATTTTAAATTCTGGCTTTTCGATGCCTCTCTGGGCTCTTGTCTTCCTAGTCTCACCCTTGCTCATTCCACCACCACCACATTGGACAGTGTATCAATCCTTACACGTCTGGGAAAAACCCAACCTCAGGGCCCCTGCACTTCACTCTGTTTTTCCCTTTAAGTCTCTGCAAATGTTATTCTTTTCAGTGAGCTTTTGTATGACAATCTAATATTAAACTATGTATCTACCAAAAGCAAATCCTAACTCCCTTCCCTGCTTTTGTGCCTTACTATTTATCTGAAACATATATATGATACATATCATGTGTCTATATTTTTAAAGAATTATTTTATTTTTATCATTTTTTTTTTTATTTGATCAGACAGAGGTGGGGGGGAGTGAGAAAGCAAGTCACCAAGTCCAGGACTCAAACAGCAGTTAGCCATATGAGAGTTTTTTTCTTAAAGAAAGAAAGAAAGAAAGACAGAAATAAATAAATAAATAATTCATTTGTTTTGACCAGAAAAGGATTGAGAAAGACAGATAAAACCAAGTCTGAGAGTCGAACCGTAGTCGACCATGTGGGAGTCCAGTACCTTGATCACCATGCTGCCTGCTGGTCCCAACCATGAGAGAGCCTGAACTACCACATCACCTGCCAGCCTCATATCCTGTGTCTTACTCTTCTGTTTATCCATCTCCACTAAAGCAGAAATTTTTGCCACTGTTTGGTACATAGTAACACTCAATAATGAATGAATACTAAATAAATCACTAAAAGAGAATACAGCAAAAAGCAACCAAGTACATGGAGACTTCAAAGAGTTCATGGATGGAGCCAGCAGATGGTGTAGCAGTTATGTTATGTTGCTGGATTCCCACATGGCTGACTGCAGTTCAAGTCCTGGACCCAGTGGCTTGAAACTTGAGCTGGGTGCCTGTGCATGCATGCCCAAAACACCAGGAGGAGAATGGAGTAGAAGAGACTAAGGTCTGGCCATCTTGGGTGGGGAGGGGTGATCCCTCACTTTCCCTTTCACTGTTTCCACCTCCCCTCCCCTGCAGCACACATTCCCTAATGCAAAAAACCTCTTAAAAAAAAAAAAAGTCATGGAAGATACATATTATCAAAAATTATTCATGATTTTCAATGTTCCTAAGCCAAAATAAACTCAACCTTTAATTCCATTTTTCCATGTGTTTTCTGAAGTCTCCTTGATATAGGCATACACATACCTAGCTAGATATATTCCAAGTAAAGTACACTTTTGATGTTGCAGTGAAAAAAAACTTGATCGTTCCCTTTTTATCATAAAATTTCAGCTTTTCTAACAGTTGTTAGAGAAAAAATAAACAGGTTCTTTCTTCATCTTGGCTGGTTAGATAGCCAACGAAAATCATAAGTATACTGTGACTATTAAACTTGGAGCCGTGGGGTCAGCAGGCAATGTGGTGGTTAAGGTATTGGACTCTCACATGGCCGACTACAGTTTGAGTCCCAGATCTGGCAGTTTGCTTTCTCACTTTCCCTTTCTCTCTCTGTCATACTTAAAAGAAATAACAAATAGGGACCAGCAATTGGCGTAATGGCTATGTCGCTGGACTCCCATGCAGTCAACAGCGATGGTTTAAACTCACACCAGGCGCGTGTTGTGTGCGTGCTCAAGATCCTGAGAGGAGAATGGAGGAGAGGGGATAGCACTGTGGCCATCCCTTCTAGGGGTGATTTCTCACTTTCTGTCTGTCTGTCTCTTTCTGGCAAGTGCATGTGCTTTATAGCAAAAAACCTCTCTCCCTCTCAAAAAAAAAAAAAAAGAATAAAATTTTAAAAAGAAAATTGTTTTAAAAATAAAAATAACCTCAGAGCTGTATAAGAGAAAAAGGGGAGCTGTAGATGCTTATTCATGGCTCTTCAATTGTATGGTTCCACTATGGGCCCCAGCAACTGCATAATCTAGGGCTGGTCAAAAACAGTTTCTATCCTGACCTGCTGATAGTTCCTGTATATACTCATACAGTTCTATACAACAATGAGGGAAAAGAAAAAGCACCAATACTTTACTTTAAAACACATTTTTGCCATTGGAAAGGAAGGCAGAAAAGTACATTCTATTTTCCATGGTCATCACAAAAAAATTTTCTATATTATCTGTATTTACTCTATCAAAATCATCGCCAATTTTTATAGTTTGGAGGCTTAGTTGAAACATAGATCATTGATATAACTACAACTTCAAATTTTATTCAAAACAAACTTCCAACATAAATTGAAGAAGTCAGTATATGAATCGACTCTGCACATACTATAGCACATTGATTCAAGTCACGAACCAGGTGGCTTAAAACTTATGCCAAGCAAGGGGCTAACAGGTGGTGTGGTGGTTAAGGGCACTGGATTCCCACAAGGCAACCATGGTTCAAGTCCTGAAACTGGAGGCTCATTCTCTCACTTTCTCTCTCTCTCTCACTCACTCTGTCCTTCTCTGGTCAAATTAAAATAAATAAAGTTAAATAAAAAATAATTCTTAACAGAACAAAACAAACAAACAAACAAAAAACCCAATACTTATACTAGGCGAATTGTGTGCATGCCCAAGATACCAGGAGAAGGTATGTGGCCATCCCCCCAGGGGTGATTTCTTATTCTCTGGCTCTCTTTCTTTCTCTTTGGCAAGTACATGCACCCTATGGCAAAATGTCTTTTAAAAAATTCTGAATCAAGGCAATATATAATCTAATTTAATCTATTAGGTCATCGGGAAAATCACGAAATATTTTTCTATGCAAAAATGTGTTATGACCTTCTTGACAACCCTATATTTGGGAAAAGGGCAGGAAATAAGCAATCTATTACTTAACTGCCAATTCTAGTGATGAATCTGTTAAGAACGTAAATGCTTTTATTCAGACCACGAACTACATTTCACTCATGGGCACTCATTTTGTATGTCATTTTTGCAAGGGCAGAGTCCAATGTATTTACCAAGTTGTATTTATAACAGTATTTGCAGCATCATATTTTCCCAGGAACATGGTACTCAGTTCCATTGAAATAAGCCTAAGAACATTCTTGGCAGGAAAATGAAGAGTTTGGAAGATGTATTTACAATTTTTGATGGCCTAGGATTAATGTAAAAGTATCCTTAAAAACTTAGAACATCTGTAGCCCTCGAAATACTGTAAAGCAGCAAAATAATCCACTGGAAGAATTTAAAACTAAATTCAGGTGGTACCATGGGGCCAAAGAATTGAAGAGGTCTTGAGATGAACCAGTAAGTCTCAACAGACAAAAAGTTAAGGAGTGGGGCTAAAAAAACAGGGATATCAACAATGTTAACAGGGGCCTATAAATATGAACATTTTCACTATATAAGTCAACTTTTCCTTATTTCATTTTACTGTAGATTATGTAGTACAAATATGATAACAGAAAGTATAGCAAGCAAAGGAGAACTGAGCTCTAATTCCAGTGCTAGATGTTTGGCAAAGGTACAAATGTCTACAACTGTCTAACTCAAAGGGAGCTGAACATTTATCCTGTACCACACATCTACACCATTCCATGTAGATATACATTTTGTCTATACACAATCACACCGCAGATTTATGAAAAGCAACATGTAAGTTAGCTTGAGTATTATCACAATTGTAATGAATTCCTTCTTTATTAGGGAACTGTTTTCAAAAGAGGTTTGCTTGGGTTACCTAAGATCAGAAAAGTTTTTTTTTGTTTGTTTGGTTTTGTTTGTTTGTTTTTTTGTGGAGAGGTTTTTTTGCTATAGGGCACGTGCGCTCGCCAGACAGAGACAGACAGAGAGACAGAAAGCAAGAAATCACCCCCCCAGGGGGGATGGCCACACTGTAATCCCTTCTCCTCCATTCTCCTCTTGGGATCTTGGGCACGCACACATGCCCGGCGTGAGTTTTAAGCCACCGGGTCCAAGACACGAACTGCGGTCGACTACGTGGGAGTCCAGCAACATAGCCATTATGCTAACTGCTGGTCCCGATCAGGAAAGTTTTTTAAGAACCTGAGAACAAGTTTAACTAGACAAGAGAAGTTTTCCAAACAAAATCAGAACTAATATTACTAGATATTTCTTTATAAATTAGAAAGAAGACAAAAATTATCTTAAAGGAGACTGTGTTGGTTACATTTTTAACAAGTAATTGATATGGAAGCTTCTAAAATTAAGTGGCTAAACTTGGTATGAGAGAGGACAAACACACACACACACACATGCACACCTTGATTATCTAGAATTCTCAGATTAGGTAGTAATTTTGGCATAGAGCCCAGTCTAAATTACTTTAACCAATTTGGAGTTTTAAAAAAAAATGACGGGCCAGCAAGTTGACACAGTCATTAAGGCGCTGGACTCCCATGTTGCTGACCGTGGTTCAAGTCACAGACCTGGTCGATGGCTTGAAACTCATGCCAACTACATGCACTTGCCTGCTCAAAATCCCAAGAGGAGAATGGAGAAGAGAGAATGTGGCATGGCTATCCCCCTGGTGACTTCTCGTTTTCTGTGTCTGTCTGTCTCTCTCTCTGTGTCGCTCTGATGAGTGCATGTGTCCTATAGCAAAAATCTCTCTCTAAAAAAATAAAATAAATAAAACTATCTACAATGGGTAATATACTCAATAAAAATTACTTAAGCCGGGGCCAGCAGATGGCATAGTGGTTATGTAGCTTTACTCAAATATGGCAGACCACGGTTTAAGTCCTGGACCTGGTGGCTTAAAAATCATGCCAGGTGTGTGTATGTGCATGCCCAAGATCCTGGGAGGAAAATGGAGAAGGGATTGCAGTATGTCCATCCCAAGGGGTGGTGGTGGTGGTGATTTCTCACTTTCCCTCTTACTGCCTGTCTGTCTCTTTCTTTCCAGTGAGTGCACATGCCCCAAGGCAAAAACCTCTTTAAGGAGAAAAACGACTAATCCTTTGGATGACACAGGGCTATCAATATAAACATCAGCTTCCCTACTGGACTATCATACACAAAGACACTGGGGCCACTGACCTATGCAATGCTATCTCAATTTCCTAACTCTTCAACATTTAATACTTCCCAATACTATCATTATGCACCCCTTAAAAAGCCATTACCCCACCACTCTATCAAGTGTATGGAAAAAAATATCTAAATCTGTCAGACAATCTACAGAGTTGGAGGTACTGCCTGCCCTCACCCTCCGTGTGACACAGGATGATCTAGTGGCTGTTCTCTTGTTTTCAGAGTCTATTTCCCTCTTACTTCTAAGTTATATATTGAACAGACAAGGCAGCCAAATGACTGAATGCCTAGCAGTCAAGGTGTTATTATATATTATAAAGACTGCAGTTGCTGAGTTTCAAATACACGACTAAATGCTGGACACAAATACTTCAAATGTAGAGTTAAGCAATATTTCTAAGTCCAGATTCCTACCTTAACAATCAGCTGGCATGTGCTTATGAAAGGAAATGCTTTTCCCCTATCTTAAAAAGCAAAAAGTAGCAATACTTACCTAAAAACTTAATGTGTTAAAGAAAAACAAAAAATACATTCCAAAGTCCAATAACAAGTAAATTATCAATGCCATCATTCCCTGGCTAAACCTATCAAATTCTGTTAAAGATTTTAAAGCTTGGGTTTCAATGTCAATCTGCAAAATATTCCCCTACTGGGATTTATCTAAAACAAGGATAAACTCAACAATATTAGAAAATATACAAAGGGATATTTTGGTTTTCTAAGCACGTAGGGTTTTCTGAGGTATAAAGCAACACACCCAGCAGTATAAAAGAAAAGTTAGAAGTTGTGTTGTTGAGGTGCTCAGACAAGAGGAGGGAAATGGAAACTACATAGGTATGAAGTAGGATTAGGAATTAGTGGCGTTTTAGTAGTACCTCTTTTTCATTTGAGGTGAGTATTAGCAGCTCACAAATTGGCAAGAATATTGTGAATATTGACCTTTCTTCCTGGTAAAGAGACATGAACTTATCCTTGTCCCACAGTTACTGGGGCGCAAGGAAGATCTTTTACTTCTTTCTGAATTAATGGGCAAGGGCTAATAAACACTAAAAAGATATTAATGTAACCTTGTAAAACCTACTAGATCTACCGTGTTCCTCTTGTTAGTTTCTCCTAAGGAGCTTGTGCAGAACGTCTCCCATCGCTCCCTGACGTCGTCGGGAAGATCTTCAGAGTGAGAAAAGGAAAAACGCATTATCATCCCAGTGACCACCACACAGACAAAGTAAACAGGTAAAAATGAGAGCAGGCCAGCCCACCTGGTTCATCAACAGTATAACATGACCTATCAGCTGTGTAACTGGGTGACAGCCAGCCCAGCATTTTTGGGGATGGAGTTATAAAATCGCACATGGCACAAACTCACAGACTTTCAGGAACCAGAACTTCCCCATACACCAAAGGTATAGGGCTAAGAGTCCTAAGTATCTGTGTAACTTAAGTTTCTAAAATTATTTTGGTAGAAAACTTAACCTGGGAAATGTGTTTCTAACAAACTCTGCTGAGAAAGCTGGTGGGTCTTTAAGGTATATATGTGGTAAAGGCAGGGAGACATGTTTACCATGGTCTAGTAAGTTTAGGGAATGCTGCAAGTGACAGCTCTCACATACTTTCTTGAGATGTTCTGACTGGCAGCTGGCCAATGAATAGTCTATAGAACCCAGTTTCACTCTCAAAATTGCTATAGGATAATGTTTCCCAAATATATTTGTTACATATGTATCTGCATACATATCTAACAGTGAAATTCTGTCATCTAGAGAAATTTTGAAGGAAAAAAAATACATAACTACTTCCTAAGAAAATAAACAATGGCTATAATTTTGAAGGCCTTACTAAAGTTGTCATCTGACAATTCTGGTTTAAATATTCACAAAGGTACACACCTGGCAAATGACTTCCATAAAAGGACTGTTCTAAAAAACTCAATCACATCACATGGCCATTCTCCTTGGTAAGGACATAAAGATAAACTGATGAGGAATGGCATGAGAAGAGGCTTACAATCCTTGAGAAGTAAAATTACAGGTGAACAAACCCCTATTTTTCCATCACTGAGTGACGACTACACTTTTAGTGTATATTCAACCGGCAACAGTTTCTGGAACAAACATTCTTAAGAGAAAATAGAGAGACACACTGGGAAATTATTTTCAGCTAGTTGATTCTGAAAGAATTCTACAGCACAGATGTTAAAGACTTTTCAAATTCAGAGTAAATAATTTCATGACTAATAATCACAGTGGTACAAAACCCCAGAGTATATAGAGCTCCTAGTACTCTTGTTTGGGAAGAGATGGACTTCATGGCCTGGTCCCAGTGTGAAGGACATTCACACAGTTTTTTTTCCAAGCAACCTTGGACTGACTAAATTTAAGTGCTAGTACAGAAAGAAACCTATAAGAGCCAATACATCTCATTTTAGTGATACAGACATGAAAAGATGCTGATAAATTCCTTAATAGCTCAGTTAAAGAAACATAATCCATAGGGTATATAGAGCCCTTTAGAAGAAAATCAAAAAGAGTAACTAAAGCTTGAGTGGCTCAATTGTCAGCTCAAAATACCCAAAAGCACAATTTATAGTGTAATGTGCTCTATAAGAATGACAGTGAGTACCTAGAATGCTGAACTCAGTCAAGCCTGCTGAAGCTCACCGAAGAACTGCAAAACCAGGAACAGAGATATAGCTAAGAACTATACTGTTCAAGACACATTATCGAGAATCTTATCCAAATCTCCAGGTAATTAACAAAATACAAAAAGACTCCACAAACACCTATTAAAAGTGTTGAGACTAGTTCCACTTTACTCTTAAATCCTTTCTTGATCCCCAAAACATGCAATTAAAATTTTATAAACAACTTACCTTTGATGAGTTGCTGTACTAATGGACTGTTGGGGCCCTTATCAGTACTGTGCACGATACAGTTAGCTATTCTTGTTAGGTGTCCCATGTAACCATGCCGTCTTCCTCCCTCAGCCCTGACAAGGGATAAAGGACATATATTCAGATATCTGATAGGATGAAGCAATGAAACACTTGGCGAATACTGTAGATTTTAAAAACTGAGGGCACTGTTCAAGACAACAAGGAACAGAAAAAGGAGAAACAAAGGAACGGGAGGCCAGCAGATGGCATGGCATTTACATCACTGGACTCTCACAGGGCTGACTGCAATTCGAGTGCTGGAATTAAAGTGCAATCCAGCAGCTTGAACATCATGCCTGGCATGTGTGCGTGCACGCTCAAGATCCCAGAAAGAGAACGGAGAGAAGGGGTTATGGTGTGGCCATTTCCCCTGAGGGGTGATTTCTCACTTTCCCTCTCTCTGGTTAGCACATGCACCCTAGCGTGAAAACCTCTCCAACCCCCCAAAACAAACAAACAAAAACAAAGAACAAAAAAAAAAACAAAGGAAAGGAGGGTGCCATAAAATTACTAGGTGGCAGGGCAGGTTAGGATTGGGGGGATGGTGTCTGAAAACATCTATTTAGAGATTATATGGCAGATTGCTTCACTTAACAGAACACACTGTTTATTCAAGTAACAAAAAACAATCCTTAACTGTAACAGCATTATCTTAAATCAAACAGACATTCATTCACACCTATTACTGTGACTTTCTATCTTTTTTATAAAACTACATTTCAGATGTTAATCAGATTGTAAGGAATTAAGGTAAGAATTCTGTGGATTTGTTTTCCTAAAGACATTCAATTTTAGTCACATCACAATTAGCAGAACTATTATCTACCAATGCCATTTCTCAAGTTAAGATTTTGGATGATTTGAGAACTTGCCCAATATAAGAGAGGCAGTCAACTTGATCCTTCCCATATTCCATTTTGAACACAGGAAAATAAACATAGTTCTAATCCCTTTCCCCATTTAGGTTCTAATCTTCCCAACCATGATGAAACTTTACATTTAGACAAACTTCATAGCAATGTGTTTTCCTGTCTACAAAATGTCAAGACTTTAAATTCTATAAAGAAAAGTTTTTAATGCAGATAGCAGGGAACAAATTGCAAAGATTTTTGGTCAAAGGGGTAACATTTTGTGAGGCCCATTTAACAAACCATACTGTGACTGAAGGCTTATCTAGAAAATAATATCTGCTAGACAATCTTAGAGGGTGTGAAGTGTTGACACCTAAGGGTTGGAGGGCACTGGGTTGCTGGCAACTGAGTTGCTAATTCCACATTATGGTTCAAAGATCCATGTGTTCTTATCAGCAGCTTCTCAGTTATTCCCTTTCATTCCCTTCTAACCTACAGGTGAAAATAAAAGGCCCATTTGCCAGGTTTTTGGCCCAGGGCTTCCAGTATGCTTTAGGTTCCTGGTTCAAGGCAAAATTAAGAAAGCTCTTTGGGGATACCTCCAGATTGGGGTAATGTTACTCACTAGCTCGTCAGAGGACAGGGCTCATGAGGAAAGAAGGATGCACAGGATACCTTATCACTGATCAGATAAAAAGGCAGAGACAGGAGCACAAAGGGGCTTAGATGGGGTAAGACACTCAACCAGAGATTTTGACTGGGCCATATATAACACCCCCAAAGAAGCTCCATGTGGAAGAAGGATTCTGAGCCCTATCAATATTAGCCCCATGATATACACAAGCTTAACACCAATTTTCCACACAGAGCTACATCAAAACCCTATCAGTGGGACCAGCAGGTGGCATGGTGGTTAAGGTGCTGGACACTCCAGCATGGCTGACTGCGGTTCAAATACTGGACCTAGTGGCTTGCTTTCTCACTTTCCCTCTCTCTCTGGTCAAATTAAAATAAATAAATGAATAAATAAAATTAAATAATTAATTTTTTTAAAAAATCCTATCAGTGCTTATTAATCATTTTAAAAATCACAACTCACACTGAGTCATCTAGCTCGCCTGGGGACTATAGATCAGTTTGAATACACAGCAAGAAAAGTGGGAAAGAACTCACAGTAAAGAGTCATAGACACCCATTTTGTACTGGTGGTTACAAGACTTCTTGTATGAATCAGAATTCCTAGGACTGCACATATAAAAAAGATGATTTTTACCATAGGAGTTACCTCAGGAAGCCTGACTTAAAAACAAACACAAGAAACATGACTTGAGGGCCTTTCCCAAACATACCCTATGCTACCTGCTTCAGAACTTACTGGGTAGCACACAAAAGCAGGGCTCAACATGAATGCCTGGTAGAAACAACACTGCTATGAAGAAGTCCTATATAACAAAGCTACTGACATGTATCAACTAGTCCTTCACATAACCTTGCAAATCAGCTAATGGAAATTTTCTAAAAAGACTATACTGATTTTTCCTGTTAATGCCATGCATGAAAAAGTGAGAAGAACATACACCTAATACATTTGAGTAGGGGGTAATCAGGACAAAGATGCTACATAAAATTATCACCATGAAAACCTTCACAACGTTTTTCACTCAACTTCACATTATTCAAAGAAACAACCCTTCAAAAAAGACCAGAACGTTTCAAAGGCAGCAGAGAGGCAGGGAGTATTCCCAACTCACTAGTTTCTCCCAAGAAAGGTAGAAAAGGAAATCTAAAAATAAATTAATAGAAAAAAATCTGGGGGCTGGCGGGTGGCATGTTGGTTAAGGCACTGAACTCTGACATGGCCAACCATAGTCCAAATTTCAGACCTGATGGCTTACTATCTCACTCTCTCTGGTCGAATTAAAAAATTAATAATAATAAATACAACTAAACAAAGTAGTTCTTAAAAAAGAGAAAATATCTTTTATAATGTAATTATTTTCATTTTTGTCTGATCAGGATAAGGGGACATGTTTTCTTCAAATTATAACCAAATTAAATTACTTTCAGAAATCAATTTACTTACTGTTTCTTCTCATTCATTTCCCAAGCTTCAAGTATTCGTTCTATTAATTGACATTTTTGAAAAAGCTGAATAAAAAAAGACATTCCAGTTAACATTTATATAAATATAAGAGCACCTAAACTTTACAGTGAAATAGAACTTAAGTTAAACAGAATCATGGTACGTGTATCCCAGCAAGCTACTGATTAATGGTTAAAACACATACACTGGGGACCAGCAGGTGGCGTGGTGGTTAAGGGTGTTGGACTCTCACATGGGTGACGGCAGTTCGAGTACTGGACCTGGCGGCTTGCTTTCTCTCTCTCACTCTGTCCCTCTCTGATCAAATTTAAATAAAGTTAAATAAAATAAAACAAAAAAACAAAACACACATGCACTGTAGTAATAAATTTACTCCAGATGCTCAGAACACTATAGGGATTTACTGGGAAACTCAAACCCACAAGTGAGCAGCTGACCTAAGAGCAAAGTCAGGTTTTAATAGATATGAAGAAAAAAAACTGGATCAGAAATATAAAGCCTGGGGGCCAGCTGGTAGTGTGGTGGTAAAGGTGCTGAACTCCTACATGGCTGAACACAGTTTGAGTCCTGGACCTGGTGGCTTGCATTCTCACTTTCTCTTTCTCGTCAACTTACAAACAATAATAACAGTAATATTAAATAAAATAATTCTTAAAAAAGAAATTCAAAGTGTAACCAAAAATTAAATGGAATAAAGAAAATTATGCCTTCATAAAATTGAACTTAGAATCCAAACGCATACTTGTGCTTTTATAATATGAGCAACACTTAGTTCCAATACATTCATGTTTACAGTATTAGCATGAAAAAACAGGCACATCTTGCCCAAATCCTGCAAGTCAATGACAAGCACTATGAGCTGCAACAATGGAAAGTGCAATGCACTTTTATTCATGTGTCCCCATCTCTATCTTGCTATTTCAGACTAGCCTTTCCTAACTTCCAGGTTTGGAATAAACCAAATGTGAGCAAGAAAATCTCAATGAACTTCAGAGCAAGAATAAATCTGAAGACTGACTTAAAAAAAAACACCTCGTATTTGACAGGAAAGAGATCCCCAAGAAAAGGCTCAAACACCACATATAACTAACTCACTTCTCTAGTATGTCAAATTGCTGCTCAAATGTTTTCTGTAGTATTTATATTTCTTTGGTTCTTTTATTAGTTTATTTTTGGGGAGGAGTAGTTTTTTTTTGTTTTTTTTTTTTTTGCTATAGGGTACATGCACTCGCCAGGAAGACAGAGAGAGAGACAAAGAGACAGAAAGTGAGAAATCACTCCCCAGGGAGGATGGCCATGCCACAATCCCTTCTCCTCCATTATCCTCTTGGGATCTTGGGCATGCATGCACATGTGCCCAGTGTGAGTTTAAGCCACTGGGTCTGGGACTTGAACCGTGGTCGACTACATGGGAGTACAGCAACGTACCCGTGACACCAACTGCTGGTCCCTCTTTGGTTCTTTTAATCTCCAAATGATTTTTATAGCTTCAAACTTAGTAATTTGATCAAATAAGCAGTTTACTTAGATTTTTTTTTTTCTTAAAAGACAATTCATTTAATGTTCATGTGGCCAAGACCTTATTTACAGAATCACTAGCTCAAAGTGCAAAGATAGGAGGCCGGCAGGTGGCATGGTGGTTAAGGGTGCTGGACTCCCACATGTCCAACTGCAGTTTGAGTCTCGAACCTGGCAACTTGCTGCTCTCTCACCCCACCCCAACTTTCTGGTCAAATTGAGATAGATAGATAGATAGATAGATAGATAGATAGATAGATAGATAACTAAATAAAATAAAGTTAAAAAAAAAGGAAAGAAAGTGCAAAGATATGACAGTTAAGTATTTAGACTCTGAAATCTAATCTCATGTTCGTAAACCTCAATTCATTTCACAATGAAGTGGAAAGCTGCTGTAACTAGGAGAAAAAGGAGAAAACCAAGACTGGATAGGCTTACGTGTTTCAATAATAAATTATCACCAGTGGAGTCTTGATCTGTAATTGTGCCATTTTCTGTGTTTTCAAAAGGACTTGCAAGAATCAGTGCAATACATATTTCCACTTGTGTATGCAAAAAATTATTCCATGTATATTTAAAGAACATGTCCTAGAAAAATGAAAAACAATGTGTTTTGTAATTTAGTTACCTCAGTGCTTAAGCTACTTTATTAATACATTTACAAGATAGTAATTTAACCTATTTCAAACTACTTAAACTATTTCAGTAGTTTAAAGAAAAAAATATTATGTTCTCATCCATTATGAATACTTAAAAGGAACACAAGGTTATTTTAAAGGGGGCTGAAAACACTACTTCACAGTCTAAACAACATATATGCTCACTTGACTCAGAATTTGCATGGAATCTAATAGAAACCAACAATAAGCATATGAGGAAAAGACAAGAGGAAGTTTCTCAAAAAGACAGTAGCTTTGTTTTCAAAGAAACACAAATGTTTAGTAAGCTATATTTAAAAAAATTAAGAGAATTTAAATTTAATTCAACAAATATGTATTGATGGCATTTGTGCAGGCAGTGCTGAGGCAAAACATGGGAAACAGGAAAATAAAAACATGGTCCTTGGTTTCAAGGTGCTCACAACTTAAATAACCACTCTACCATTCAAAACCTCCTAGAATCATCTGCAAAACAGACTCTGAAAGGTGGTAACATGTGAATTTCCTGGATTCACAAGGGTTTTCCAAATTACTAGCATCACAAAAAGGAAAGACAAATTCTAAAAGCACAAAGTGTGTAAAATATGTATTCAGGATACAATCAAGTCTAGTTATCTAATTTTAAAATGAAATCCATCTGGGGCCAGCAGATAGCATAGTGGTTACATTTTGATGGATTCCCACATGGCTGACCAGTTTGAGTCCTGGACCCAGTGGACTGAAAATCATGCCGGGTGCATGTGCATGCGTACCCAAAACCCCAGGAAGAGAATGGAGGAAAAGGGATAGCAGCATGGCCATCCCCAACACCCCCCACCCATGGGGGTGGGGGCTTGACTTCTCACCAGTAAGCACATGTGTCCTAAGGAAGAAACCTCTTTAAAAATAAATAATAAATAAAATCCATCTAGTAGGCTTACCATTTTTCTTTTTCTTTTTTTTTAATAATTTCCAGAGGACTCATGAGTTACCCAGAGAGGTTGAAGGAACAGGGTCATGCCCCAATTCAATGGGGCATGGTCATGCCACAATTTCTTCATTTCTCCACCCTGCCAGGATTTGGGGTATAAAGATATACCCGGCATGTTTTTTAAACAGCCAGGTGTTGGGATTCAAACCACGATTTGCTATGTCAGATCTGCCTCCCTAATAATCACTGCACTTACAGATCCAACCCAATTATCAAATTTATTACCTCTCAAAAGTAGTTTTAAAGAGTTACAATGTACTTGTACACTTTTATTAGTAATATTAAAGAATAACTGATGACTTCAGGGAGAACACCAGAGGCCAAGGGTGGAAAGCTATATTATGGATGTTTATATACTAGTCAGAGGAAAGGCAAAGACTATGTTGCCAGAGGGCACTGACTAGGGTACTAAAGAAGCTCTAATCCTTTACATTTTCATCTTTTTCCAAACTGTTCCTGCTTACTATGCTCCATACTGATACATCATTTACCCCAAATCCAGAACAACTAAAAATATTTCAGTGCCACTAGGAAGTATAATAGCTTTGGTATTAAAGCATGTACGAGCCTAAAACTAGGTAAATTTAAACCTAGGTTTCACTGACTAATTATATATGTATGTCCTCTCTGGGCATAATCTGAAAAGCAGATACTCTTTTGCTTAAGGTTTTTATACCCAAAATCAAATGAGAAGTGTACATAATGTATGTATTATAATGCCTGTCAATGTAGTGAGCAAATTCCTCCTATAAAACACATTTCACATCCCCCGAAATGATGTGACCAGAAACCTAGCAAAACCTGCTAAATGTTTAACCTTGATGCCTCTTATGCTATGGATGGCAAGACAGAGAGAGCAAGCATGGGCACAAACGATGGAACTGAAAACTCAAGAGCCAGGAAAGCCAAGTAATTCCTGGATTTTTCCTCTTCTCTTCCACTGGCAAACAGACTAACAGTTGTCTTAAGGAAAAATCCAGACTCAAATCAAAAGACTATAGACCCTCAGATGCATTATATAGATATATTCCAGTCAAAAGACTATAAAGGCTTGTCCCTTAGCTAATTCTGAGCAGAGAATAATGCTGAACCCAACAGACATCATCTGTGAGACTGTGTTTCTCAGGGAAGAGCCTGTCTTAAATGATCTTTGAAATTTTACATTATAGTTCTTTATACATAGCAATAAATGATTACTGAACAATTATAAACATTCAGAATTTATGATAAACTAAGGCAAAAACTATGTAGAACACCATATATGCACAGACCAAAAAAAAAATCATTGACACATATTGTACATCTGTAATGTTGGAACTTGAGTTATATATCCATGAAGTATCAACGGCACATTAAAATGTCTTGAGGGAGGAAATCTCACCAATATGACTCCAATGCTATTCAGCTCCATAAGGTCCAAATTTATACTGCTGGTATTGGTTTGAAGCAAGCTGGATATCAACCTAATCACATTCAACCGGGTATTCCCCACAGGAGGATCCAGAACACCCCATGTAGTCTTCATCACACTTTTCTGAGGAAGAGAGAGCTTTCCAATTAAATCCAGTTAAATAATCAAACACGCAAAGGCAAACTAACCTTGCAAACAATTTGACCTGAATTCTACACCTGAAAACAATATATATAGCTGCTAATAATGTCTACAATAAGTTGAAATAACCAAATAAAAATTTTTCAATGAATTTTCCTGGACTATAAATTCTGTAAGAAATCAAGGATCACTCTATTCCAACATTCCAAACTGCCATGGGAATAAAGTAGAAAGCTATAGAAGTCCATGGTAAAAAAGTAAAATATTTCAAAATCTGACCAGAAATCTAAGAAACACAATCACAATTTTTGAAACAAAGTCTTCAGTCTTTGCCAAATCCATGATAAAAATATAAACTCAGAAGTTGTTTCTGGATCTTGAGATGTGACCAATCTAAACCTGTTTTTGTCTACAAAAGGGAGTTTTTATAGTTTGAAATCACAAAAGCAGCAGACATTTCAACATTTTTGAATTCTTACAAGAAAGGGTGAGGTTGCCCTTTTTAAGTATCCCTGTCCACATCTGCACCTTATCCTTTGGTTCCACTCTGTCTGTTCCCTGATCCTCTTTTCTGGATGCTTTAATGGAACTGTAAGGCTCACAGTTTCTCTCCATGAAAAACAGCTCTAATTGACAGGCTTTAAAAAAAGGTTCACACATCTACTTGTACACACCACATCTTAGGGTAAAACGACATAAAAACTGAACTCACTCCCTACTAGGAGTAAAAGAAAAATCCAAGTAAGACACTGCTCTACTTTTGAATCAGGACCAAGAATAAGATGTTGCCTATTTTTCCACTTAGAAAGAAAGGAAGGCCACCTAAGACACAGGTTAGGCCTTCATCACACTCTTCTCCAGAATCTCCTTCCACCCCTCCATCTTCTACTTGTGATGTTCTCTCCTCTTCTCCTACATCCATATTTTTGTTCCCCTACTCCATTATTGTTCTTCCTAGGACTAAGAAGGAGGATGTCACTGACCAAAATCACTAAATACCAATTCAGGCATTTTCCAAGGGAGAATGCCAACACTACAGCCTGCATCCAACACAGGCTGACTGCAGATAGGATGATGTGCCTGGAATGGGCCCAGTGAGATGACACAAACTGAGTGCAGAGGTGAGATTGCCATATGCTTGCTGATGACATCAGACATCTCAAAAGACCATCTGAAAGCTGAACTGGATCTCTGGGTTACAGATGCACATTATCTTGTGCCATACCTTCCATGGCTAAATAAACAGAAAACATCTAATTTGGAAAAGAGAAACTAGTACACTGGAGTCACAAGAAATCCCATAATACATAGCCACATGCCACACAGGACACTGGAATCAATGGTAACAGGCAGAGGGAAGAGGTAATTTTAAGAACTGGTGCTAGAAATAGAACTTGCACAGAACTGAACCTTCCACCCTAGATTCCAAAACAAAGTGTCTCTTACCCTAATCTAAATCTCTCCACCAATCAGAGGCGGCGTGGGGTGTAAACGAAGAATACCATTCATGGACTGTTGACGGCCTCTGTTGTAGGTCTCCATCGAGTAAGCAGTCATTTTTAGATTAGCACACGGATGCTCTCAACTGAAAAACTAACACCCCCAAGTCATATTCTTTCATGTTGTATGCTAAAACTTCAACCTACTATTTCTTAAATAAGGTTATCTGTCCATCAGACTGTTTATACTGTTCCAACTCTGAATAAGAAAACATAATTTCAAAGATCAGCTTCTGAAAGATCAAAGATTAGTCATCTCCTCAAAGATGTAAAAAAAGAAGAACCAGATGGTAGCGCAGCAGCAATGCAACAGTTTGCAATGTTGCACCCACAGGAGAAGGTCCAGGGTTTGGGACCTAAGGCCTCCCTGCATACGCTAGGCACATAAGCATGCATGCCTATGATCCAGGCTGGCTGAGGCTGGGGAAGGATAGTGGTATGAAGACCCTATGGGGTACCCTTCTCCCACCTCCCAAGCGGAAAAAACTTGAGGGGGGATAAAAGATGTAAAATAGAACATACTTTGAGAAGGAAACTGCTTATTTTACTGGCACTTAAGTATTCAAGAATTTACAGATGGAAAGAATACAACTGAATTTCCTAAGCACATAAATAAGGTTTAATTTTAATTCTATAGCATTTAATAATTTATTATACAGACATATATATATATATATATATATATATAGGTCAATTAAAAACTGGCTCAATACCAGTAAAAACAATTGGCACTGTATCATTTAACATATTTTATAAATGGTAATGACAGCCAGTCTGTTACTCCCAAGGTTCATATTCTTTCTAATGACTGTCTAACTAAATTATTAACTGGACAGCCATGCTTAAGATAGCTCCCCTACCTTGGGTGGCTCGAGTAGGAGTTCATGAAAAGATCCAAGTCTTCCTCTGATGGCTTCTAGAACACTCTTATTGACTGAACAAGTTGAATGACTCATGCCAGGTGGACAGATCTCTATATGGCCTTCAAATCTTGAAACAAAGTAAAGAAATGTTAGTTACTGTAATTTCAGAACAGATCATTAAAAGTGTTCTATCCATTATCAATTATGGAGGTATATACTTAATGATCGTATAATTATATAATGATTTTATCAACATTTCTGGTTACAAGAAGGGAAAGAAAAAGTATGTAATAAACTAGACAAGATTATAATAAAACCTTGATGAGGATCAGCCAACATCACTTGAAATCCAAAGGACTTCAGTGGCATGCTCCCTTTACCACTCACCATGGACTGGCCCCCTCTTGACTTCTTAGAGCTATTATACTAATGGAGTTCTCTGACTGGAAACTTTGGAAAGCAAAAGGAAATCTGATCCCTGAATTATAAGGTACAAGCTAGTTTGGGATATTAATAAATAGGACTGTACTAGTTCAATTCAGTTTTCCTTGGGTAATCAACATTGTTTCTTATTTTAAAGGTTTAAATTATTCTTCTACTCAAAGCTTAATCTATACTCATTATAATCCACTCCTAAGAAAACAATTATAAGTGGAATGAAATTCCCTAATTCCAACTGTGTTATTGACCAGGCACAGTGGTTCTCAAATTGGGAGTGGGAAAAAGTCTAGGAGGGAAAGAACATCAGGGGATGGTCTGAAAAATACAGGTATGGGCCAGTCATGGTGGCATGCTAGTAGCACAATACTCCATAATGTTGAGGTCATGAAGGAAGGTCTCAAGTTTGCAATTCAAGGTCTCCCTGTACAAACTGGGCAAGGGCACCCTCCGGCTGCCCAAGGCTGGAAGTAGACTGCAAAGTGAAGACCTTGTTGGGGTCGGGGGGTATCTGTCTTAACCTTTTCTTTTAAAATGTGAGTATGAGGGCTGGCAGGTGGCATGGTGGTTAAGAGTGCTGGACTCCCCCATGGCTGATGACTGTGGTTTGAATCCTGGACCTGGTGGTTTGCTTTCTCTCTCTCTGGTCAAATTAAAAAAAAAAACAAATAAAGTTAAATGAAATAATTCTTTAAAAATATTAAAAATACACCTAAAAGTGGTATATTAACTCTATAGTCATGCAAAATAGTGGTTCATAATTTATTGAAATTATTATTCATTATTTATTACAATTATTAAAATGTAGTTGCTGGAGTGAGACTACCTATTCAGACAGGCTCTTCATTGAGAAGTTATCTGTTCTAATATGGAGATGGTCACTCCAGAGTGCCTCTCCCACAACTGCTGTGAGAACCATGTAATGTGGACAGAAAGTTGAGAATACTGCCTAGCATATAGCTAATGCCTAGAGAGTGCTATTATGACTATTACCTGAAAACACTTTAAATATAAGTGATTTCTAACCCTGAGAGCCACATGTAACAACATTCAGAAACTCAATTATGAGGAAAAAGGAAATAAAACTTTTTGTTTTGATGACAATGCCTTAGGTTTTTGCCATAGTGTGCGGTGCTCGCGAGAAAGACAGAGAGAGACAGACAGAAAGCGAGAAATCACACCCTGGGGGGATGGCCATGCCACAATTCCTTCTCCTCCATTCTCCTCTCGGGATCTTGGCACGCACGCACGCACACGCATCCAGCGTGAGTTTAAGCCACTGGGTCCGGGACTCGAACTGTGGTCGACTACATGGGAGTCCAGTGACATTGCCATTACGCCAACTGCTGGTCCCTACAAAGCTTTTTCAATGTGTCAGGATGGGGTTTAATAATTTTCATGGTCAAATCATTTTCTGTTACAGGCTGTCTAGAGAGCCATGCTTCAAAGTTCTTTATAATCCCAGAATTTTATAAATATTTACATATTTTTCTTTTTTGGGGGGGGTAGAGGTTTACGCTATAGGGCGTGTGCGCTCACCAGACAGACAGAGAGAGACATAGAGACAGAAAGCAAGAAATCACCCCCCAGGGGGGATGGTCACGCCGCAATCCCTTCTCCTCCATTCTCCTCTCAGGATCTTGGGCACGTATGCACATGCGCCCGGCGTGAGTTTTAAGCCACCGGGTCCGGGATGCGAACCGCGGTCGACTACGTGGGAGTCCAGTGACATAGCCATTATGCTAACTGCTGGTTCCCATAAGTATTTACATATTTTTCTTGCAGTATTTTATTTGGAATTTACTTTTACATAAAATAATAGGTATAAGCATGATATTTTTCCTTTAAGTGGTGCATCACTTTCTTAGTTCTGTTTCTAGAACAATTAACCTCTCCTCACTTATCAAAAAAATTGTATTAAGCCACATTCTATAATCCCTTAATCATTCACATAGATTTTGTTCATATCATGAATATTTAATATAACACTGACGTAAGTACTAAAGTCAATATCCATGGTGCTTTTACGATACTTACATTGGCATCACATTATTTATAACAATGGCTCATTTAAAAATTTATTAGGCAAGTGTGCCTCTCTAATTGGTTTTGCTGTGACCACACTGAAGGAATTAGCATACTGATGCTACACCGTAACATAGAAGTTTTTCCTAATATCTGTTCTTGCTCAAAATTTCTTGTATAGTTTCTTATTTGTGTAATTAACCAAATCCAAAACAAGAACCATGCTTTTATTTCAACAAGAGCTATAGTAACTATAGAACTTAAAACTTGGAAAGGCACAAGAAGTGACAGATCAGATGTTTTATAAATCAATAGCCCACTCCTTTTTTTTTTGGAGAGGTTTTTGCTATAGGGCGTGTGCGCTCACCAGACAGACAAGAGAGAGACAGAGAGACAGAAAGCGAGAAATCAACCCCTGGGGGGATGGTCACGCTGCAATCCCTTCTCCTCCATTCTCCTCTTGGGATCTTGGGCACGCATGCACACACGCCCGGCGTGAGTTTTAAGCCACCGGGTCCAGGACGCGAACCAGTCGACTACATGGGAGTACAGCGACATAGCCATTATGCTAACTGCTGGACCCACCCACTCCTTTTTATCACTAAGTAGCAATCCATTATACTGATATATCAGCTCCCATTTACCAGTTTAAGGACATCAGATTGTTTGTAGTTTGGGGCAATTATGAATAAAGGTGACAAACCCTTACACACAAGTTGCTGTGTGACATGGTTTTTATTTCACCTAGGTAAGTACTGAGAATGCTGGATAATATGATGTGTCTGCCTAGCTTGTATTTTATTCATTCATTCATTTATTCATTCCTCTATGAGTGAGACGGACAGAGAGGGGAGGTAGGGAGAGAAAGAGAGAGCGCGCTAGCACCCCTGGAAAGGATCTTGACACAGTGATTCATCCCCAGTCCAGATCAGTGTATGCACAGCCACAGGTATGTGGCTGTGAACCAGCAATCTTCCCATGTGGGTATGCCTCACAGAGCTTTGCATTTTACTGCTATATACCATCTGTCTGTTTATTTATAAGAAACAGACAACTATTTTTATAAAGTGCCTGTATTACTCTGCATTCCAAACAGTAATGTGTGAGACTTGCCGTTACTCCACATCACCGCCAGCACTGAGTACTTTTTAATTTGTTTGGAATGACTATGTAGTGGGCTGAATGGCAGCACCCTGAAAGGTATGTCCACACCCTAATCCCCAGAGCCCATGAATTGTCCTATTTGGAAAAAATGCCTTTGAAGATGTAATTATGGATCTTTTTAAAAATATACATATACATATATGTATATATTTCCATTTGTTGTTATTAATTTTTAATTTGACCAGAGAGAGAGAAAGAAAGGGAAAGTGAGAAAGCAAGCCACCAGGTCCGGGACTCGAACTGCAGTCGGCCATGTGGGAATCCAGTGCCTTTAACCATCATCTGCCAGTCCCCTGTAATTATGGATCTTAAGATGAGACATTTTCCTCAATTATCCCGGTGAGCCCTAAGTGGATCTCAAGTGTTCTTATAAGAAAAGGAAATGGGGCCACCAGGTAGCATGGAGGTTGAGGTGCTGAATTCCCATATGGTCAACCATGCTGCTGACCCAGTGGCCTGAAAATCATGCCAGGCACATAAGCATGTGTGCACAAAAATCCCAGGAGAAGAATGAAGAAGAAATTGTGGCATGTCCATCACCTCTGCGGTGTAATTTCTCATTTTCCCTCTCTCCGACCCTCTTTGGGGAGTGCACACACATGCACTATGGCAAAAATCTGGGGGGGGGGGAGATACACAGACACATCAAAGAGAAGACTGTATGAAGCAGCAGCAGAGAGGGCATAATCCAAGGACTGCCAACAGCCACTAGAAGTCAGAAGAGGAAAGAAAAGATTCTCCCTTAGTGCCTCTGGAGGGAATGTGGCACCACTAATATCTTGGACCTAGGCTGCCTGGCATTCAGAACAGTGAGGGAATAAATTACTATCATGTTCACCCATGAAGTTTGCAGGAATTTTTTTTGCAGCCACAGGAAACAAACATTAAGTTGTTCTAAGGGTGTGCAGTAGTATCTCATGTGGTTTTGAATTAAATTTAATAATAAACAACGTTGGCTACCTTTTCATGTTTTCATTTACTACATAAATAACTTTATTCTTTAACTGGTCAAATCTTTTGACCTAAAAACTGGGTTGTGGCACTAAATTTTAAATCTTTTTTATATGGTTGTATGTAAGTCCTCACCCATGTGATTTTCAAATAACTTTCTGGCATTTTGTGGCTTTTCTCTTTATTTTCTTAGTCGAGTTCTATGAGCAAAAATTTAAAAATTTTAATGTAGTCTAAGTTGTCAGCTTTTCTTTTATGAATTAGGTTTTGGTACTGTATCTAAGAAATCTTTGCCTTACCCTGTTTTTTTTTTTTTTTTTTTTTTTTGAAGTTGTGCTTCTTAGATTTTTGAAAGGGAAAGCGATTCTT